TGACCGAAGAATGTGCCCACCCCCTGCCTGCTGATGGGGGCTCCTCCGGGGTGAGGCACAGGGTGGGGAGGTGCACCCAGCCCCCCTCCTCCCGGAACCTCTTTCCCACAGGCAAGAGAGGATGTGTCACTGACCACTTCTTTCTGGAAAATTCCCACAGTTCAGTTCTTTCCTGGGATTTCACTGGAGGAATTGCATCTTTCTTGCTCACATCTCCTGGGATCTATTCTTGGCCTTGGCGGGCTTGATGTGGTGGTATGTGTGGGTGTTCCCTTTTAATTTGGGGTCCAGAGCCGTCTGAGGCCTGGACTGGTAATTATGAGAGCAGCACCATTTATGGAAACAGCCCTTGAAGCAAGCCAGTGATGAGACCCGGCTGGAAATACCTCAGCATGGAGGCCTGGGCCTGCCTGGAGGCGGTGCTGAGATTTCTGGGTGGGAGAAGCCCCTTTAGGATGTAGAACCAACAGGTCATGAGTCCCACCCTCCCTTGGCCTGCAGAGGCTGTGGGGCCCAAGCCTTGTTTTGGGTCTGAAGTGGCCCCTCCCAACCCCCGCCTTTGCTGCCTGTGGGACCAGCCAGGCAGGCCCATCCCATGTGCCCTGGGCTCTGGGGGAGCCACTGTCCACCTTCAGGGGCCAGGCCGGGAGAGTAGGCAGGTCCACAGCAATGGGAATGTCGGTGGCTTCTGACGGAGTCACACGGGGACATGGTAGCCACACCCAGACTGGCAGTGATACCCAGCCCAAGGCGCTCTGAGTGCCGGACACTGAGCCGCTGTCCTGGGGACAAGAGGCCCTTGGGAAGAAGGCGCTGGGGCACCCCCGCTCTGGGGCCCTGGAACACAGCGGCCGATGAGCCAACATGTGAGCCTCCCGTGTCCACCCACGTGGCTCCATCCCAGCCCTCCAAGGGCTCGCTGTCCAGAGGAACAGCTGAACCAGAGACAGCAAGCCCTGGCATGGGGGCCAGGAGAGGTTGAAAGCCTGACCTGCCTGGGGTCTGAGGACTGGGAGGCTTCTCAGCCGGACTGAGAGGGACGGGGCCGCCTGGGGAGAGCAGCTTCCAGGAGGGACTCTGCGGGAGGCGTCTGCAGGCAGAAGGCACAAGAGGCCCAAGGGACAGATGGCAGGGCCAGCGCAGGGAGGGCCCTGGGACACTCTTCCTGTGGGCCCTTCGGGGCTGGGGAGGGTCTGAGGGGAGGTGGGACCGCTCACAGGCCACAAGATTCTGTTCTGAGCTGGAGGATGAGGGTGTCTTTTGAAGTCCCATATTTTTGGTCAGAAATAAGACAAATTTAGGTTGTCTGGGTGAGACTAAATTGCCCAGAGCACAAAAATAGCCAGAGTTCTTGTTGATGTTGGGCTGAGGGTCGCAGTTTGGCATCTGGAGGCCTAGACTGGAGTGGCAAGCACAGGGCCCCACATGTGGCCAGTGGAAGCCACCTGCTGCCCACCCGGGCCTTTCCTGGAAGCATGGGGTTGCTTCCGAAGTTTGCTTTATCCGAGGCTGGAGGAGGAAGCTGAGGGTTCCATCAGCACAGGTTGGCGATTCATGATTGTTTATTTTCCCGGGAGTCACATTAAGGTGGTTTAGGTGGTTTAGAAAGCAGATTCATTTGCTGCTTCCCCAGACAGAAGCCGGTTCAGCGTTAGACCATTTGGGGCAGCTTTTATGATTTTGTAGGAAATAAACATTTAGAGGTGCCTGTGGAACCAGGTATAGCTTGGTCTGTTTCCTGTGACCAACGAATTGCTCTCTGCAAATGTCTTTTCATATTTTTGCCAATATGTCTTTGGAATTCTTGTGTCAAAGGGTAAATTCATATGTAATTTGGCTAGGTGTTGCTAAATTCCTCCTCTACACAGCATTCCTATCAGCAACGCCTGAGAGAATAGTCTGATCTTAATCTTTTTCCTTCTCCAAGGCCATGCGGAGCCCTGTGAAAAGCACCCATTACTCGTAAGCCCATAACCTTTTCTGTTTCCTTCACAGCATTTACAGTAGAACCAAGAAACGACATCCTATATTTTACTTGCTTTTTGTTGATATTTCATGTCTTCCATTAGGCCATAAACTCCATGTGTGTGTCCATGGACACATTGTGTGACAATGTCCATCTTGTTCATTGTTGTATTTTCAGTGCCCAGAACAGTGTTGTACACACAGTAAGAACTGGATAAATGTATTTCTAAATTAAACATGATGAACTTATTAGATGAGTGAAAGAATACATTTATTTAGAAAAACATAATTCAAAGTGTTATTTCTGACCAAAAAGTAAGACTTCAGAAGACACCCTCGGGTGCTGTGGAACAAGGCACGGTCATTCCTTCTCCGCCCTGGGCTGGGATGAGCAGCCACCTCCTCCTGCCCACACACGTCTGACCCCGTCCCCTGCCCTGCACAGCTGTTCGCCTGCCCATGGCTGGACCAGGTCCCCACTGCGAGGACAGGAAGTGCTCCCCACATCCGCCTCGGCCCGCACAGCCTGGTGCTTTTACAAACCTGACTGTGGTCACTGAGCCCAGTAACCAGAGAACATTTTTTAAAAGACTAACATATCATTGAAATCTCAGTGTTGGGTTTTGGGGAAGGCACTGGGCGGCTCCCACCCCTGCTTTCCGGAAACACAGATTTCTAGAGTTTGAGAGGGACAGGATGCTAAAGTGAGACTTCCCTAAATATAGCGTCCCGGGTATTTCCAGACACTTGGGGAAATGTGGGCTTTATTCCACAACTGCAGCCTTTGTTTGATTGGCAGGCCAGCCCCCGCCACGGGGCCCTGCTGCCCATCTCACCTCCAGCCTGGCCTCTACCCTCGCCTCCACCGTGTCTTCTAATTCCCCGCCCCTCACGCCGCCCCCCTGCTGCCCCCATCCCCTGTGCTCCCCACTGGCCAGAAGCGAAGCCCAGGCTCCTGGCCCGGGATTGGCACCCTCAGCAGGCAGGCCGCAGCAGAGCTCATGTGCTGTCCCCAGCATTGCTGACCTGTGGGCGCCTCCACCCCTGCGCATGTGAGGTCCCCTCTCCCTAGAGCACCCTCCCCGCCACCTTCTCCACCTACCAAGACCCCATCCTACCCTTCAAAGCCAGTTCAGATGCCACCTGCTCAGATCCCACCGCCCAGTGAGACCCTCCAACTTCCCCAGCACCTGACTGGCCTCTCCGGGAGTTGTCACTCCTGCCCTGGTTTTTCTTGTTCCTTTCCACGTTTCCCTCCTTCCTCCTCCACCTTGTTCCAGAAAGGAAATGTCGGTCTCCTGCCCTCTGCTGTTTCCTGGTGCTTGCTTTCCCTGCCTTGCCCTCAGGCCCCTCTGCTCTGGCCCTCTGCCCTGGCTGGCCGGCCCCTGCAGGGCCCGTCTCCCTGACCCATGGCAGATTTGCACTCATGCCTCAGCCCAGCTCAGCTGTCAGCCCTGAGCCCTCCCCTGCCACACCTCCCATCCAGGCAGTGGGCAGGCTCTGGATGGCTTGTGTCCCCCGAGATGCCGTCGGTGATGTCGGTTTTGTCCCTGTCTACCAGGTTTCCCTGCAGGGCCGGGGCCCTTTTCTGCCTTGGGTCCAATGTCCATCTTCCCTTTAGCCTGGAAGCTCCCAGAGGAGGCCCCCTCCTCTGTCTCATGTCCGGGTCCCAGGATCAGCCAGATCGAGAAGGGGAGCATTGGGAGTTTGGGGTTTGGAGCCTGGGGTCTGTTGAGCACCAGCCAGGTGCAGGGCTCAGGCTGAGCCTGGCTGCAGGGCCTCTCAGCCCTGTCTGCTCCCTGGTACCAAGCCTGGAACAAACGTTTGCACAAAAGGAAACCGGCCCCGCCAGGCCTCCCTGGGTCCCCTCCACCTTGAGTGGTGGGTGGCTGGGGGCGGTGGCTCACACCAGCTCTGCCCACTCCAAAGTCTGAGCCATTCCGAGCGCCAGCCCAGCTCTGCTTTGTCTTCTAGTGGAGCGAGATCATGCCCTGGGCCACTGGGAGCCCCACTGGAAGGAGTTCCGCTTTGACCTGACCCAGATCCCGGATGGGGAGGCGGTCACAGCTGCGGAGTTCCGGATTTACAAGGTGCCCAGCATCCACCTGCTCAACAGGACCCTCCACGTCAGCATGTTCCAGGTGGTCCAGGAGCAGGCCAACAGGTGCCTTCCCCTTGGCCCAGGTGCCCCTGTCCCTGCCCGCCTCACAGTCTCATGGTCAAGGCAACCCAGCAGGGAGTGGGGGTTGGTGGAACACTTCCCAGAGGACCCGAAAGAGACCCTCAAAGACGGGAAAGATGCTTGGCCCGAGCCCCCTGCACTGCGGGAAGAGCCCCAGTGACAGTCCTGCCTTCAAGTCCCTGCCCTGCCATCCTGGCTATGGGGACTTGAACAGCTCATTGAACCACTGAGCCTCAGTTTCCTCATGTGTACACCTCTGTGGGCTGAGGCAGTGAGATGAGGCTCAGAAGGGGCACAGGCAGAGTCAGGTAGGAGATGCCCCGGTGACAGCCCCCAGCGGGTCCTGGAGACACAGAGGCAGCTGTGCCGGCCGCCGGTTAATTGTTCTTTCGTGTCCACAGGGAGTCTGACTTGTTCTTTTTGGATCTTCAGACGCTCCGAGCTGGGGACGAGGGCTGGCTGGTGCTGGACGTCACAGCAGCCAGTGACCGCTGGTTGCTGAAGCGTCACAAGGACCTGGGACTCCGCCTCTATGTGGAGACTGAGGACGGTGAGGCTGGGGGCTCTGTGGGAGCAGCCCCTGGGGCTTCTCTGTGCCAGCACAGGCAGCAGCTTCCTGTGGCCCTGGGCTCCCGGCCTCACCAGCTGTGCCCGCTGCGAGGGTCACTGAGGTCCAAGGCACAAGGTCTGGCCCAGTGGGGGCGCTCCCTCCTCTCCCTCTGCTTCCCAGGAATCAGGCGGTTCCTCCCACGGAGGAGCCTCCACCCTGGGAGTTTCTGTCCTGGGAAGGGAAGGAGGGGAAGTGGCTGTATCCTCAGACACTGAGGCCAGGAGGCTGGGTTTGAAGCCCAGCTCGGCAGTGCCCTGCCTCAGTGACCTTGGCTGGGACTTACCTTTCCAGACCCTGTCTTCTCTTCTGTAGGATGGGGATTCATGCCCTTGTTCATTCCACAGGTGAAATTGGGGAGAGCCTCTTTTATGCCAGGCAGTAGGAAGACAAAGGCCAAAGTGGGCATGAGATGGGCGTGTTTGAGGCCCGGCAAGGGGGCGCCATGGAGCAGCAGTGAGGGTGGGGGTCCCAGGGGCCATTCTGAGTCAGGGTGAACCAGGGCCAGGCGGTGAGGTTCTTAGCGTCGTTGATTTTATTTAATAGCGGTGGTGGACGACAGGATCTGATTCAGGTTTTAAAAGAGAACCCTCTGAGATGACCCCCTCTCAGGGTGGAGCAGAGCTCCCCACCCCTTCCGTGGGCCGCACAATGACTTGCTTCCTGAAAGTGCCCTGTGGACAGGGCGTGGGGTACCTGACGCGCAGCGCCTCAGCCAGGTGAGGAAGCCCCACTGCAGTGACTGGCACGGGGCTAGCATGTGCACTGGGTGTAAGGGAAGGAGCAGACCACTGAGCTTCAGAGGCCCCCCCGCTGTGAACCTGAAACCCCAGTCCAACCACAAGAAGACCATCAAACCCAAAGAGAAAGGCGTTCCGCAGAATACCTGGCAAACACTTCTCAAAACCGCCAAGCTCATCAAAAAAAAGGGAAGGTTGGGAAATTGGAAGAGCCCAGAGGCACCTAAGACGACCAGCTCAGTGCATGTGGGGTCCTGGGTGGAATCCTGGACCAGCAAAAGGGCATTAGGGGAAAGTTAGGAAATCCAGATCAATCATGGTGTTTACTTAATAATAAGATATCAGTATTGGTCCATTAGTTATGAGAAAGGTACCCTACTAGTGTAAACTATTAACATTTCCCAGGGGAAACTGGGTCCAGGTATATGGGAACTCCTTGTGTGGTTTTTTTTTTTTCTTTGAGACAGGGTTTGGCTCTGTTGCTCAGGGTGGAGTGCAGTGGTGCAATTGCAGCTCACGGTAACCTCCAACTCCTGGGCTCCGGCAATCCTCCCACCTCAGCCTCTGTACTGTCTTTGCAAATTTTTATGTAACTATCAACTGTTGTAAAATTAAAACTTTACTGAATATATGCATAAAATAAGGAACCCCCTGACTTCAGTGGGGAGAGCAGACTGAGAGGGACAAGAGTGAAGTCACAGAGACTCGTGGGGGCCCCACAGTGGTGCAGGTGGGCGCTGTGAGCGGCCTGTTGGTAGCAGTGGAGATGGAGAAAGATGAGTCGATTTCAGTGTCAGGACATGCTTATAGCTGGCGAGGAGGTGAGGGAACGGGAGGAAGCCTGAATGATGTGTGGATGGAACCAGTGGATTTTTTCCAATAGATTTTTCTTTTTGGGGAAAGATAAATGAAGGGCACATTTGAGGTGTGTGGCCAAGGGTTCTTTTTTGGCTGGAATATCACTGAGCCCCCTGGGATGTTACTGAGCTCACTGGTCCTCATGGAAATGCCATTCCAGGGACAGGTGAGTGTGAAGACCCAGGCGAGGGAAGTGCTGGCATGTAAGTGGATTTAAAGCATGGGGTGGGACCAGATCATCTAGGGAAGGAGGTAGTGATGGAGAAGAAAGAGGGCCTGGCCCAGAGCAGTGGGACCTCCAACATCCAGAGACCTCACAAGGAGGGGCCACAGCGAGCCCACAGAGACCAGCCAGGGAGGGAGCAGGACACCTGGAGGACGAGGTGACCAAGACACCAGAGTCAAGTGTTTCCAGATGCAAGGGTTTGTCGTTTGTGTCCAGCTGTGGGCACTGAAGGCAAGAACAGAGAAGTGACCGAGGGTTTTGCCATCACAGAGGTTGCTGATGGCCCAAATCTCCGTGGAGTGTGGGTCTGACTGGGGAGGTGGAGGGAGACAGGCAGTGGAGGCAGGAGACAGCTCTTTCCAGAACCTTTGCTGGGGAAGGGGAGCAGAGACATGGGCTGGGGCTGGAGAGAACCCGGGACAAGGCAGGTCCTTTACAGGTGAGGAGACGCCTGCACCCTGCTGTGGTGATGGAGTGATTCTGTGCAGAGGGAAGAAAACTGCAAAATTCCGCACAAGTTGGAGCAGGGAGCTGGAGTGGGGGAGGTGGAGAGGGCAGGGAGATGCAGAGGACAAGGCTGGAGACTCTTCAGAGCGGGGACCCTTCCTGATGAAGGTGAGGGATAGTGTCCCCACTCTCACAGTGAGGGGTGAACCTGAGCTCTGGGGGACTGTAGTGGGGGGGGCACTCACTCTCCGTGTTGTCACAGGATTAAAGGAGGGTGCTTGGCACAGAGTGATGCCCAGTGAGGGTGGTCATGACTGTCGGTGTCACCCAGCAGCGCCTGCTCATTAGATATTTGCTGTCTCTAATGAGCTGGGGAAGCTGGGGGAAGCTTGGGCGGGGCGGTTGGAGTTTGTGCCTGAGGCTCCACTGGGGCAGAAGGGGATCAGGCCGGTGCCCTCCACGTGGAGCCTGACCTCAACTCTGTCCTGCGCCCTGGGCCTGTGCGCTGGACACGGAGAACTGACACGGGGGCCCCCAGCCCAGGGCGGAGCGGGGGAGCGGCCCCCTCCCTGTGGTGGGTCGCGGGCCTGGCCTAGAGCCTGCGCCTGGCGGGGGAGACCTGCTGGGCGGGAGTGCGTCAGGGCGCTGGCGTCCTCTCTGCTCTGTGACGCGGGACCCCGGGGCGCACGCGGGGCGCACACCGCCTCTCCTGGCCTCTGACCCGGGCCAACCATGGCGGCGCTGCGGCTCCTGGCGTCGGCGCTCGGGCGCTGGGTCCCCGCCCGCGGCTCAGGGCTCGCGCTATCCCAGGGCTGCGCCCGCCGCTTTACCACCAGTCCCCGGCCCCGCGCCAAGTTCTACACGGACCCGGTGGAGATGGTGAAGGACATCTCTGACGGGGCGACCATCATGGTCGGGGGCTTCGGGCTCTGCGGGATCCCCGAGAACCTGATCGCCGCGCTGCTCAGGACCGGCGTGAAGGACTTGCAGGTGGTCAGCAGCAACGTGGGCGTGGAGGACTTCGGCCTGGGCCTCCTGATGGCCTCCAGGCAGATCCGCCGCATCGTCTGTTCCTACGTGGGTGAGAACACGCTGTGCGAGAGCCAGTACCTGGCAGGAGAGCTGGAGCTGGAGCTCACACCCCAGGGCACCCTGGCTGAGCGCATCCGCGCGGGGGGCGCCGGGGTACCCGCCTTCTACACCCCCACGGGCTACGGGACCCTGGTCCAGGAAGGGGGCGCCCCCATCCGCTACACCCCAGACGGCCACCGGGCTATCATGAGCCAGCCCCGAGAGGTGAGGGAGTTCCAAGGCGACCACTTCCTTTTGGAGCGCGCCATCCGGGCGGACTTCGCCCTGGTGAAAGGGTGGAAGGCCGACCGGGCAGGAAACGTGGTCTTCAGGGGGAGCGCCCGCAATTTCAACGTGCCCATGTGCAAAGCTGCAGACGTCACGGCGGTGGAGGTGGAAGAGATCGTGGACGTGGGGACTTTTCCCCCAGAAGACATCCACGTTCCAAACATTTATGTAGATCGTGTGATAAAGGGGCAGAAATACGAGAAACGGATTGAGCGCTTGACGATCCGGAAAGAGGAAGATGGAGACGCCAAAATCAAAGAGGACGCCAGGACGCGCATCATCAGACGCGCAGCTCTGGAATTTGAGGACGGCATGTACGCCAATCTGGGCATAGGCATCCCCCTGATGGCCAGCAACTTCATCAGCCCCAGCATGACCGTGCATCTTCACAGCGAGAACGGGATCCTGGGCCTGGGCCCGTTTCCCACGGAAGATGAGGTGGATGCCGACGTCATCAATGCAGGCAAACAGACCGTCACGGTGCTTCCCGGGGGCTGCTTCTTCGCCAGCGACGACTCCTTCGCCATGATCCGAGGGGGACACCTCCACCTAACCATGCTCGGAGCCATGCAGGTTTCCAGATACGGCGACCTGGCAAACTGGATGATCCCTGGCAAGAAGGTGAAAGGCATGGGCGGTGCCATGGACTTGGTGTCCAGTCCGAAGACCAGAGTGGTGGTCACCATGGAGCACTGCACAAAGGACAACATCCCTAAGATCATGGAGAAATGCACCATGCCACTGACCGGGAAGCAGTGCGTGGACCGCATCATCACTGAGAAGGCCGTGTTTGACGTGCACAGGAAGAGAGGGTTGACGCTGACGGAGCTCTGGGAGGGCCTGACCGTGGACGACGTCAAAAAGAGCACGGGGTGTGCCTTTGCTGTGTGCCCGAACCTCAGGCCCATGCAGCAGGTGGCACCCTGATGGGACCCAGATCTGGGGGGGGGGTGCACTCCTCAGGGGGTCCCACCGGGTTCCTCAGGGGACGTCGGTTACCGCAGGAATGCATTTACCCAGCGCTGGGAGGTGTTTGCTGCTGGCCTCCAACTTTCCTCCCTAGGTGGACTGTGCTCCTCCAGAGAGCTGCGACTTTAATTAAAAACAACAGGAAAACAGATCAGCTCCTTACTGTGTTCCTCGAGCACAGCAAGGCGCAGGTCTGCAGTGGTGAGGAATGGGTGTCCGCTTTGCTCTGTGATGTTTACACAGAGCGTGCACAGCACGAGCGCATAAACAGCAGGATTTCATTCAAGCGCCTCCCTGGTACTCGAACCATGAAATGGGGATAAAAACTGATGAGGGAGAAAATCACTCCACCCAGAGTACACCTAAAGAGCCATTTTACTACTGCAGTGAGAAATAGGCGAGCAAAGATGTGAGTTTGTGATTGGAAGACATGCTGTCTTAACAAGCTTGTTTTTTTTTTTCTTTGTTCTTTTTTTTCTTTTCTTTTTTTTCTTTTGAGACGGGATCCGGCTCTCAGGCTGGAGTGCAGTGGTGTGATCTCACTGCAACGTCTGCCACCTGGGCTCAAGCAATCCTCCCAACTCAGCCTCCTGAGTAACTGGGACTACAGGCACACATCACAATGCCTGATTATTTTGTTTGTTTATTTATTTTGTAGAAATGGAGTTTCACCATGTTGCCCAAGCTGGTCTCCAACTCCTGAGCTCAAGTGATCCACCTGCCTCAGCCTCCCAAAGTGCTGGGATTACAGACATGAGCCACTGAGTTGGACCAATTAACCTTAGCTTACTGTAATTTTTTTTTTTCTTTTTTAGACAGAATTTCGCTGATATTTCTTCTGGGGCCTTTCTTGTTAGAATTTGTTTCCATGAAGCCTCCCCTCCTCCTCCCACATCTCTCCTCCTGGGACCTATCAGATGTCAAACTTCTAGATGTCTCTAGAAGGAAAGCAGGACCATCTCCAAGGGAAGGGACCGGGTGATGGGAGAGACTGAGAGGGGAGAGGCTGCGGGTGCTGAAATCCACCAGGAAGCTTCCTCTATCTGTGTGTGGCCAAAGGCTACAGCCTAGGACAGGAGGAGTTCTAGAACCCTAACCAAGGGACTAGATGAGTTTTCTCAACTTCATTTGAATTGTTCCTGCGTCATCCAGACCAGACATTTAGGCCTTCCTCTCTGGGATGGAGGCCCAAACTGGCCGCTTGTGTGATGAACCGTTGTAACCCAAGAGGCTGTGAGGCATTTCCTCCTGAATCTATAGTCTGAAAAACTAAAATTAAGAAAAGATTGTGTGTGTGTGTGTGTGTGTGCGCGCGCGCACGTGTGGGCGCTTGCTGTTGACAACCAAGCCTGGCATGGTGCATGCATGGCGTAAGTGTAGCTCTGGGGGTTCCCAGGCCAATGGGGGAATGTGGTCAGAGCAGTAAGTTCTCGCTGGTCAAGGACAGATTTTCCAAGGGGCCCATTGGAGCCCCGCCCTGCAGGAAAGGCCAGATCCTGGGAAGGAGAGCGGGGCAGGGAGAGTTGGCACTCATGGAGGGAACAGCCTGGGGGTGTGGGAAAGGGGCCAGGGACTATGGTCTGGGTCGGGGCTTGAAATGAAATGTCATCTAGTGGGCAGTGGGGTGCCTTTTGGGGCTCCTGGCGAGGGGCACCTGATTTGCCCTAGGTGTCAGGAGTTTCCCAGAAGCAATGTGGAAAAGGCCGAGGTATCTAGAAGCAGACAAGTGACCCTCTAGGCCTCCACCTCTGCCTTTCTAGAAGGGGTCTGCCCACAGCTGGGCAGCCTGAGAGCCCCCCACCTGGACTGTCTGGCCTTCCTTGCAGCCAGCTGGAGCCAGGGAGTCCTGCCCAAGAATGGGTGGGAAAGAAGCAGAGCTGATGGAGAAGGGAGGCTCTGAGCTCTGGAAGGAGAGGGCTGGGGGTGGGGAAGCTTCTCCAGGCCTGCCAGATGCAGGGCTCTGAACTGAGACCAGCTTTTAGTCCCCTTCGCCACCCCCATCTCGCCCAGCCATACCCAACTGTGCCCTGCTGTTTGCTGGAAAATTATATGACAATCCTGGCTCCGACCCACCTTGGTCTGGGACCTTGGACATACAGTTGCTACTCTCTCTGGGCCTTAGTTTCTACTTCTGTAAAATGGGAACTGGAATTATCTGCTTCCAGCGGTCCCCAGTCAGGCTTGCCTGGCCTGTGAGGCCTACAGAGGGGTTCCCAGCACCCAAGCCAGGCCTGGCTCAGAGGGGCTCTGTGAGGGTTTGTGGTGTAACTGATCTAATGCGATATTCTATCCTGTGTCTGGGACACCACCGTAAGACCCTTGAACACAGCTGCACAGAAGCAAATAGTGAGCAAAGCATGCGGGACTGATGGCCCCTCTGGCCCCAACGCTGCCAGGGCTCCCCAGGGAATCGCAGGACAGAGCCGCACATGCAGCCTGGAGGGCTGCCCTGGGCCCCAGGTCGTCCCCATGTGTCAGCCAGTCCGCAGAGTGACACTCCAGTGCCCGGGCTGGTTACCGTCACCAGCCCACTCAGGCTGCTCTGTTCTCTCCCCATTGTGACCTCACTTACCTTTTCCTCTGTGCCCTGGCTCTGTTCCTTGTATTTCTGCTGCTTCCCCATAACCTTGACTCACCATGACTCAAGCCCTGCCCAGTGGATTCTCTCTGGGCCTCCTCTCCATGTTAGCATCTGCAGCTCACAGCCTCCCTGTCTCAGCAGCTCTTGTCCATGCTCCTGAGAGGGAGGGAGGCTCTCCTGCCAGCGCATTTGTTTGTGGCAGATGATGTCACACGTCAAAGGTTAGTCTCTGGATTAACTGGTTGTTCAATCAAGTGGCCAAGGGACACCAGGGCTGAGGCACAGCTGCTTAAGGGCTGACCTTTGAGTGGGACTGAGGGTGGGGCAGGCAGTGTCCTTGACCTGTAGGGTGTACTGAAGAACTACGTAGGAATAAATACATCTGTATGTATAATTTCTAAGAGTATGTGCATCTGTGTGTTTATACAAACATATGCATGTGTGTACATACGTGTGTACATCTGTGCTTATAACGTGGAGGTGAAATGTGCTCTCGTATAAAATGAATAACTGGCACTGTTTAAGGAGACATGAAAGTGAGCTGGTAATCATGCTTCTGCAATTCAGTATCAGGAAATTTCACCCATGCACGGAGCGAGGAGGCTCCATTGCACTCCATCTTTATCATGAAAACCAGGAAATAACCTACATGTCTAATGATGAGCCAATATCAAGTAAATTACAGTGTACTGCTCCAAGGGATTTTATACATTTGAAATGTTTATTGTGGAGACTTCTTTAAACAACCAGAAAAAAGTTTTTTGTTTTTTTTTTTTTCTTGAAACAGACGCTCACTCTGTCGCCCAGCTGGAGTGTGGTGACACAATCACACCTCACTGCAGCCTCAACCTCCCAGGCTCAAGTAGTCCTCCCACCTCAGCCTCGCGGGTAGTTCACCACCATGCCCAGCTAATTTTTGTTTTTATTTTTTTGTTGAACCAGGGTCTCACTATGTTGCCCAGGCTGATCTCAAATGCCTAGGTTCAAGCAATCCTCCCACCTTGGCCTCCCAAAGTGCTGGGAGTACAAGCATGAGCCACCTTGCCTGGCCTCAAAAGTTTCTTAATTGCTTTTACAATAGAAAGGTTATTGAAATCCAAACAAGTATAGGAGGATGCACAGTTTTATTGGTGAGGCTTGGTGTCTCCAGGGTTAGTTATCATGTTTTTAGTGGCATCCTCAGTCTGGAAGCAGCTGTGGGGGACAATCCCCTGTTTACAGGCTTCACTTCTCCTGGGGCTGAGGCCCAGGTCAGATCTCTGCTTCAGCCTTTTCTTTCTTTCTTTTCTGTCCATAAACCCAGCTCGTGCATAAGAACTTGGGGTCTGGAATGGGACTGCCCCAGGCTGAAACCTGGGCTCTGGGACTTGATTCCAATGTCTATGCTTTGCCTGGCGTCTCCCTTATGGGCATTAGGGAGACAGTTAATGCCCTGCTTTTGGGCTGTGCCCAGCAGAACAAGCACTCACTAAACTTGGCAGATGCTGCCACAACTGTCTCGGTGATAAATTTGACATTCACACCCCAGAAAGTGCGGGATGGAAGACAGAACACAGGCCTCGGGGTCCTTTGACCGAGGTGGGAGCGCTGGTTCTCGAAGTCACTGGCAGTAGGACTCTGGGTCTCCTGTGAAGAAGGAGCTGCAGGATTACTGTAAGGACCCAATGAGGTGATCCATAGGAAAAATCTTTAAACTTGTAAAACACTTCACAAGTGTCTGTGTCACGGCTGTCACTAATAACACCGCCCGCAGCTCACCAAGGCCCCCCTCCCACCCTCCAGATCTGCCCCCAGGAGATGTGGATTGGCTGAGGGTGGACCAAGGACTCCAGGCTTCAGATGTGGAAACTGAGGCTCAGCAGGGACCCTCGGGTCCTCAGCCTTCACGCTCCTGGACCTGCCCAGGCCCCGGCAGAGAGATCCCTGCTGTGTCCGCTGCAGGGCCACTGCCCGCGAGTGACCCCTCTCTCCTTTCTGTCGCAGGGCACAGCGTGGATCCTGGCCTGGCTGGCCTGCTGGGTCAACGGGCCCCGCGCTCCCGACAGCCTTTCGTGGTTACTTTCTTCAGGGCCAGTCCGAGTCCCATCCGCACCCCTCGGGCAGTGAGGCCACTGAGAAGGAGGCAGCCGAAGAAAACTAACGAGCTGCCGCAGGCCAACCGACTCCCAGGGATCTTTGGTGAGGGCTGGGCGGGGTGGGGCCGAGGCCCTGCGGGCTTCCAGTTGAGAGAGGCAGGGTGAGAACCAAATGGTGGCCCAGAGCCCTCAGGCTCAGGTCGGTTCAAGCTGACGGCCACTCTCCAGCCACCTTTCCTGACCCCATCTTTTGCCCTGATGCACCCTGGCGACCGGCACTCCAGAGGCATGTCCTGGCTGTCCCTGCCACCCAGAAGGCCCCTCTCTCCCCCTGGCTCCTCCAGGTCTTTCCCAGGAGCCTCCATCAGAATGAGCTGCCCCTTCCCTGGGAGCCGCAGCCCCTCGTGACCCGCGGTTGTGCCTGGGCACCCCGCAGCATCCTCGGCTGCTTATGTGAAGTTTTCTCCCCAACTGGGCCAAGCCCTTCAGGATCGGGGACAGGCCTGACCCGACCCTGTGCCCTCCTTCCCAGGGAGTCGGCCCCTGACTGGCCTGGTCATGAGCCACTTGAACCTGAGGAATGGGTGTGGCAGCAGAGGGTGGGCTGGAGTCACAGGGGTCTCTAGAGAGGAGGCGGCACAGGATGGCCGAGGGTCCTGCTGGGCTGTTTCCTGGCGCGTCCAGACGCTCACAGGCTGAAGGACAGGGGAGTGCTGAGCAGTGTCACTCTAGCCGTCGGGAGCCATGGCAGGCTCTTCAGCTGGGTCACGGTACAAGCAGAGTTCCAGGGATGGGCTTTATGAGACCAAATGGTTTCCTGTCATTCGTTTATTTGACAAATGACAAATCAGGGCATCCCCCGACCCTGGTACCCCATAGTAGCTGCACAGAGCAGGAACCCCAGAAAAGACCTTGCCCTTCTGTCCCTGCAGATGACGTCCACGGCTCCCACGGGCGGCAGGTCTGCCGTCGGCACGAGCTCTACGTCAGCTTCCAGGACCTTGGCTGGCTGGTAATTGCTGACTCTCCTTGTTTCTGAAATGACAATCACCACCTGTAGATCAGAAGTGAATCTGCAGGGAGGACATAGAATCATGAGTGACTTCAGTTTTTCTTATTTTTTTTCTGTTTTCCAAGTTTTCTAAAGAGGGAATATGGTGAGAAAGGGCATTTTATTTTTTAACCATGAAAACGAAGACTGCAACTAAGCTGTCAGCTTTGCAGCAGGGAAACTGAGGCCAGGCTGGCAGTGCCTCCCTGCATCGGCTGCAACTGCGGCTCTGGGAGGTGCGGGCAGGAGAGGGCTGGCTGGGAAGGGGGACGAAGAGCGAGGATGGGGGATGTCGGGCCTGAGCTCCCACCCAGCCCTGTCTGCTGGGGTTCCTAGGTGGATTCAGACCTCCTAGGGGAGACTGCCTTGCAGGGACCGAGGGTGGGTTTGGGCCCTGAGGCTCAGGGAGGTTCAGGGGCACCCCTGGGCTGTCCTGTGACAAGTCCAATGACAGGATGGGGGCTCAGGAGGGGCACATGGATGGGACTCACCTTCTCCCATGTCCTCTAGGACTGGGTCATCGCCCCCCAAGGCTACTCGGCCTATTACTGTGAGGGGGAGTGCTCCTTCCCACTGGGCTCCTGCATGAACGCCACCAACCACGCCATCCTGCAGTCCCTGGTCAGTACCATGTCCATCCTGCCCAGCCCCCTGGGGTGAGGGTCTCTGTGGAGAGGGGTCTGGTCCAGCCGGCTGGGCGGGCAGTGAGGCCACCTGCTCCACATCTCAAGGGGCTTTCTCTGCACGGAGTCAGTAACATGGGTAAATTCCCACAGCTCTGCTGGAACTTGTCGTCACGCAGCCACACTAATACATGTAGACTCACACCTGAACACAGAAACACCCCACACTGACACTGAACAGTTGTGTACACGTGCTTGTTCTATGCACTGCACATGCTCCTGTGGGACACTTATGCACCTGCATGTGGTGCCCAGACTGACGGAGGCACAGCTCCTTATGGTCAGAGGCACAGCACATGAAATGGACATGCATGCCCGTGTGGGGACTGTGTGATCTTCACACACACGGGCCCCTGAGTACGCTGGGAAGTCTGGCCGCCCACGATATATGCACACGGTGTGTGGGACGTGTGTGTGCTATCACCCACCTGTGCCACACCGCAGGCACGGAGCATCTGGACGGTTTGGCTCTCAACCTTTGGCTTTTCCCCCAGTTTTGCTCTTGGCCATTTGTTTTTCTCTGTATCCCCTGGCTTTTGATGCTTCGGTGTCTGGGGCAACCTTCAATGATGAAAGCAGGCTTCTGATGGGATCACTGGTGCTGCTCACCGCGGAGTGCTCTGTGTGTTTGTGGATTCTGGCACCGAGGCTTCCTTCTATAACTTTTTACCTAGAATCCCAGTTCCTGGTATTCCACAGCCTTACGTTTTTCTCGCAGGAGGTTGTTCAAAGGCGATGCCTTGATGTGAGAGAAAAGGAATTACCTAAAGCAGCTCTAAGGCTATGATAATGATTCCTTTCTGGGTGGTCAAATGGCATTTGCTGGACACCTGGAACTGCCTCCTTGGAAAGGCTCAGGGGTGATGAGGACGCGTGGGGCAGCCCGGCCTAGCCACCCTCTATGCATGTGTGGGAGCTGCACGGGAAGGTGACTGCACCTGCAGCTCCCGGACTCCATCCTCTCTGCCCTTGCCCCTGCCCCTCAGGGGCTCAACTAAAGTGAGTGCCCACAACCTGCTGGGCAGCAAACAGGTGCTGCACTCTAGGGGAGGCTGTCAGTTTGTCGGTTTGTCCAAACCAAACCAACCGTGGAGCTGACACCTCCTGTGAGAAAGAGCAGAGCGGCTGCCTCATCAGTGGAGAGAGACTGGGCCTGGCCTCTCCACAGAAGGAGGGGACCAGTTAGCAGCTGGAGGAGGAATGTTCCAGCAGAAGGAGCAATTCCAAGGCCCTAAGACAGGAGTGAGCGTGGCAGGTTCAGGGTCAGCAGGGAGGAGGGGCTGTGTGCAGTGAGTAGGAGGAGGGCAGAGGGAGGTGACACCAGGGTGGGCAGGGCCGGCTCCCCCAGGGCCTGGGGGTCCGAATGAAGGTGGATTTTATTTCCAGTAACCCAATAGGCTGTCGGAGCTCTTTAGCAAAGCAGTGTTCTGGTCCACGTCACCCTTCAGAAGGACCTCTCTCTGGCTGCTAGGGGAGACTGGGAGGGGGGATGGGGGCGGCAGTGGAAGGTGGAGCAGTTGGGGATGAGTGAAGGCTGCTGTGGTCACCTGGCAGGTGATGGCAGCTGGACGGGGCAGGTGGTCCGAGGCAGCATGGAGGTGGAGGTTGAGCCAGGGGCTGCTCCCAGGGAAGGGAGAAGGCGAGAGGAGTCATCCAGGAGGCCTCCCAGGTGGGGACTATGATGTCAGGGCAGGAGGAATTCTGTGTTCTGCTGAGGCCCCGTTAGACCCCAAGTGCAGAAGTGGGGAGGGGAGCAGGATCCGCAAGTCTGGAGTTCAGAAGAGAGGTCCAAGCTGAGCCCGGGGAGTGGAGAGGTGCAGGCACGTGCAGGGCCTTGAAGTGCTGAGGGCAGATGCAGTCCTCTGGGAGAAGGAGCAGCACAGGAGAGGGGCCGAAGCCTCGCCTCCCAGAGCCTGGGAAGGGAGGCCAGGATGTGGGAGGCAGAGCCGCTGGGTGTCTGAAGGACAAAAAGAAGAAAGTGGTCCTTCCAGGCTCCCCCTCTGGGACCTCACTAAGGCACAAACCTGGCCATGCGGTCTCCTTCCCATTATCCCCAGGAGGAAGTCTGAGCCCTTGGCCTGGGACTTGAGGCCCCTCATTAGTGCCCTGCCCACTTGCCCCACACCCCCTGCCATGTGTCCCTCCCTGGGCACTGCAGGTCACCATGGCTCCCACTCCTGGAGCCCTCAGGGATGCTCTTATTCCTGTTAATAGTTATTATTATTGTGCTGCTCCCATGTGGCCTGGAGATGGCCAAGGCAGGGCGCAGGTGGAGCTGGGGCAGGGATGGGTGGGTCCTTGGAGGAGGTCACTGGGCTCATGTCCCTGCCTGTGCCCCCTTCCTGGCCAGGTGCACCTGATGACACCAGATGCAGTCCCCAAGGCGTGCTGCGCGCCCACCAAGCTAAGCGCCACCTCTGTGCTCTACTATGACAGCAGCAACAACGTCATCCTGCGCAAGCACCGCAACATGGTGGTCAAGGCCTGCGGCTGCCACTGAGTCCACCCACCCGCCTGGCCCTGCTGCAGCCGCCCTTCTCATCCGGATTGGGCCCCTCAGAAGCAGGAAACCCTCAAACCCAGTCAGACCCCAGGCCGGGGCATTGCCAGGGAGGACCCTCACAATCATGTCCATGACCCTTTCTCCTTCATGCCAGGCTCCTATGCTCCCCTTGCCCTGCCAGGCGTTTGTGTGACTGTCCTGTCTCCAGCGCAGGTGGTCTCTTATCAGGCAGTGTTCTACCCAAACCCCTCCCCCGAAGGCATGTCCTGGCCGGTTCTTCAGGGTTGGCACAGAAGTCCTGTCTGAGGTCCTATCCATGCCCCTTACTGGCCCAGGTCGTGAGATAGATGTGGAATGACCTGAGAGGCACTTGGAGCCCACTGTTGGCCACCTCAAGCTCTTCACCATCCATCACAGGGTGTGGTATGTGTAGTCAGGGTCTGATTGGCTCCCCATTGCCTGCCCCTCCGAGGTGCAAGGCTGGGTTTAAAACTGGACGTCCCCTAAAGTATTGTATATTCATAGATCTGAAGCACTGATCCACTGGCCACAGGTAGGCATGTGGAGTCAACTCAAGAAAAAGCTGAGTGAACAGCATTATTTAGGGCTAAAGCCAATGGCATTTATCTTCCCTTGTCTTCCTGCTTTGCATCTGCCTCTGCCATCTACGAAAGCCATATAAGTGCATGGACATTTTGTTTCAGAGAAACAGAAAAATCTTGGGGCTTCCAATTGACCCATCTATCTGCCACCATGTTGCCCCATCAGGAGCTCAGTTCTGTGGAGTTTTCCCTTTGCTGAGCAAGCATGAGGTTGCATTGGGTGGCCCAGGATGACAATGCACAGCACAGATGCCATCATTTCCCTTTCCCCTCTGCATGGCAGACATCAATAATCAATCTGGAATGTTTTTCTTCCAAATCTGAATGGAATTTTCAAATGGTCAGCACAGCCACTGCCAACAGATATGATGTAAAGTGAAACCTGGTTGCCATCTTCTGCCATGCTGAGGAGCAGTCCATCCCCGCCCGAGCATGTATCGGCAACATGGGCAGCCTGTGGTCAGGTCTGGGGCAAGGCCAGGGGCCATCAAAAACAGGCTGGTTACCAAAGTCAGTGTCACCCTGGGTACCCACCAGCGCTGTCCTGTGTCAAAGAAAAGGTCCCTGTCCCAGGGAGTGACAGGCAGTAATTAGGCTGAGTTGGGTGGGGAGGTTTGTCTCAGCCTCTGTTGTTCCTGGAAACCGCTGTTCTCCTTGGAGCAGCCACTGGGAGTTGGAGTGTTTATTTGATTTCTGACTTGCTAAGCCTGTAATTTACCTGCTAGAATAGACAGAGTCCAGCTGCCCAAACCGTGTCATTAAAAGCAGATCCTGGGTCCGCCCCATCCACAGGCACAGCCCGGCGGGGTGGCTCCACCTCCCCATGTGCCCAAGGATGCGCCTCTCTGGAGTTCACATGCTGCACCCCCAGGGAGGGGCCTGGGGAGGGCTGGTCTGGCAGCAGGGGTGGAGGCTGGCGCCACGCTGCAGGACAGCAGCCCCTCCACCTGGACCAGGGAGGGCCTCCGTGTGCAAGCGCAGAGGAAGAGGCCTTCCCATGTATGCAAAGGGCGGCCCCAGGCTGTCTGGAAGTTGGTGAGTTCCCTATCAGCACAGGGATCTCAGCTCTGGCCTGGATGTGAGGAGACCTGCCTTGTAGGTGGCTTCCTTATCTGGGCCTCCATTTTCTATCTGCACTTTTTGATTTCCAAACAACCTTCAGCCAAAGAATCTGTCTACCAACTCCTCACAGTGAGCCAGAAGCAGCCTCATAACCCTGAATGTGGGGCACCAGTGGCTGTCACGAAGCAGAGTTGGCACATAACATGGAACCTGGCCAGGCACGGTGGCTCACGCCTGTAATCCCAGCACTTTGGGAGGCCAAGGTGGGCAGATCACCTGAAGTCAGGAGTTCAAGACCATCCTGGCCAACACGGTGAAACCCCATCTGTACTAAAAATACCAGATTACCTGAGCATGGTGGTGCATGCCTGTAATCCCAGCTACTCAGGAGGCTGAGGCAGAATTGCTTGAACCTGGGAGGTGGAGGTTGCAGTGAGCGGAGATCACACCATTGCATTTCAGCCTGGGTGACAAGAGCAGAACTGTTGTCTCAACAAAACGAAATTATGAAACCTGTTTGCTATCCTAGTATTTACTTAACAGTTCCTTCTTAACATCAAAGATGGTCTTCTAGGCAATTGTAAATTTTAAATTAGCCAGTTATTTTGACAAGTAATTTTTTACTCCACCTATATCTTTAGTGCCCAGCCAATGATCTGGCATAGTTAGGTATGCACCAAGAATGTCTGTAAACTACCTGAAGGTTTGTAGATATGGAATACACCTTACCCATTAATCAAGCTGTGCACAGCAGGAACCAACAGGAGCTGTGATCCGCCTGGTTCATACAGAACAATGGAAAAATATAAGGCTTTGTCTACCTAGTTGGCCAGCAGACTTTCAGCAACTTTTGTCATCCAGATGGTCACCAAATGAAATAAAATAGAAAAATCCCTTGAGCAATGAAACGATTGTGAATGAACACAAAGCCCATGAGTTTAATCCTTGAGTTATCTGTTTGCTGAGCCAAGCATGTGCATTTGCAGCGGGTGGCCCAGGTCGGCAGCACAGATACTGCCATTTCCCTTTTCTTTGCTTAGGGCATGGCCTGTTGCACCAGATGAGGGTTGGAAGGATGACGGTGGTGGTCATTTCAGATCTACTGACAGCAATGAGAAATCAATGACAGTTGACAGGAAGAGAGGACACACACAACAGGCGAAGGAGGAACGCCCAGCAGTCTTGGTCCTTGCAGTGCAATACTGGCCTTGAGGCCAAGTCAGCAGGGGATTCGTAGTCACTAACTTCTAACTGAGACAGGGAAGTAACATGTTCTGGAAAAGGTCCAAAGAAACAGGAATAGAGGCAGTGTAGCAAGAGGCAGATTTTTGGTGCCAAATAGATTTGAATCCTGGTTCTGCTTTCTCCTTTGTAGAGTATGATATTGGTTCTTTCCTCCCAAAGTTATTATAAAGATTAAATATGTACATAAATCTTGAGGATGTCTGACCTAAAAATGCTTAACAACAGGTACCTGCTGGTATTATTACAAATGAATTTGCTTATTTTTGAGCCACTTCTATGTCGTCCATTAAACCAAAATGTGTTCTGCAGGGGATGAATTTATTTCAGAGCTGTGCTTTTTCCTAAACAATCTACACATGGCATCCCTCAGAGGGCAGGACTTGTATTCTTATAGCCTTTAAAGGCCTAGCAAGTGTCACTTGTGGCAGTAGATGTGAAACTTTGCTTGTGTTCCCAGACACTGGGATCCCATGTCCTGCTGAGAGAGGTCTGTACCCAGCAGGTGTCTTGGGTGGCAATTTGCATGGGGGAACTCCCCATCCAGGTCAAGTGCTTGACCCCCTTTTTGAAAGGAACCCTAGATGGGCACTTGACCCCCTTTTTCAAAAATGTCTTTCACTTCTCAAAAAAAATAATGCAGTTTTGGAGGAAAGTGGGATATATAAAAAATAAAATACAATTCAAATTACCGTAGTCCCACAAGTCAGATAAATACACTATTAATATTTTGGTGACTTTATTTCTAGGCTTTTTTTCTTAAGATATACAAATACCTATGCTTACATATAACAGATATTTTTACAAAATTGTACTATATATGTTTCTTTGTGATGTGCTTTTTCCACTTTAGTTTCCCATCACTGAACTCTACAAGACTCCATTTTCAACAATAAAAAGTTGGTTCCATAATTCCTTCTTCAGAGGTTGCTGTGAGGCTGCCATGACTGCAACAGATGCTGGGAGCACCTGGAGGTGGCTGTCACGCTGTAAGAGAGGAAACTCCAACAGCCACAGCACTCATCCTGGGCCTGCCATCCCTGGTTTCGGCTTTTGCAACTGTTTCAGGGCCAGCATGTGGGGACTCAGATGGGGCTCAACTCTGAATGAGTTAGTGGGTAAATGAATCAGCAAAAGGAAGCCCTGTGCCCAGTCCTGGTGCTGGTCCAGCAAAGGGAACGTGGATTGGAAGGCCAGTTGGGACAGGAGCCACACAGTGCCAGGGAAAGCCGCTTTGCTCTCCAGGCTACAGGAAAGGGCACCCACAGAGCCACTGGGTCCACTTCCCAGAGAGGTCAGTTTTCTCGAGGCAGCCAGGGGCAGCTGCTGCATGGTGCGTATCCGAAGCAGGTGGCCAGGCTGTGGGGCATTCCGCTGCCCAGCTCTGGGGCTCCCCTCCCGGCCTGGAAGAACAGGGTCTTGTCTCCTGTGTCTCTCCACAAAGGTCCTGGCCAATCATGGGAACCTTGACGGTGTCACTCCCCAGGGCTGTGGACTCTGCCTGCCACAGATTGAGGCTAAAGCCTAGTAAGCCACCCAGGACTCCGTTACTACTGAAGAGAGACAGGCTGGGCTTCTAATCCCAGCTCTGTCAAACCATCCTGTGTGACCTTTGGCAGTCATACCACTAAAGCCTCAGTTTACCTGTGCAGGGTTCCAGTGTGCATTGAATAACATCTGTGGACACCCAGGTGGAGCACTGAGAGAGAAGTCCACACCCAGTGGCTCCAAACCTGCTGAGCTTTCAGAACTGCCCACTGGCCTCCACCTCCCCAGAATATCAGGGAGGAACAGAGTGACAAAATTGTCACAGGAGTCTGTCCTTTTATGGGAGGCTGGCTGTGCTTTTTCTACACACTCTCTCTTGGTTCTCATCCAAGCACTGAAGTCAGTGCTATCATCCCCAGCTTCATAGATGCCTGCCTAACACCTGTGACTGACCTCTGATGGCCATAATTTGCACTGAGAAGGAGCTGTGCTTTGAGGGACAGTCTCTTTTGGAAGCTCCACAGGGGTGAGGGGTAACCACGTGGTACATCCCAGCTAC